CGCTCGGCTCGTCCCTGCCGGCAGCGGCCGCACGCCCGTGCCCCGCCCGAGGCGCTGCGAGCGGCTGAGCACGGACAGCCGAGCGCCAGGCAAACCAGAGAATGGCTCAGACTGGGAGCACTGGGTGCTCAGGATGAAAGGTAGCCAAGCCCAGCCCCGAGAGCGTCCTTGGAGACACAGCCTGCCTCTGAAGGGGACATAGAGCCAGAATAATTTAGGCTGGAAAAGACCTCACGCATCATGGAGTCCAACCGCTAACCTAACAGTGCCAGGTCCTCCACTAAACCGTGTCCTGGAGCACCACAGCCACACTCTTTTTTTCTTGAAAAAAGCCAGCTCTGAGAAATCCAAGGGATGGACTCCCCTCTATTTAGTATTCCCCACTGGGATTAGGAAGCGAGACTTTCCATAGGATATCCCATATGCTGATGTTTCATGTGCTGGGTAAATTGCAGGATGTTTGGGTGCGCTGGGCAGTGCCAGGATGGGGTGTGTGATGTGTGCAGGGCTGCTGCTGGGGGCTGCAGACAGAGAATAGGCAGCTGAGGCCCTCGACCCTCTGAGAAAGGGGTCTGGCTCCATCCCTCTCCTGGCTACACACCCCTACCTCCTGGCTCATGGAGTGCAGTAAATACTGACAACAAGCAGCTGACATTTTTAAGCAGAGGGATGAGCTTTGATCAAAACAGGTGGCTCCAACAGCTCTCTAGGACAGCCAAGAGGCTGCTTGCATTCATCAAAACAAAAAATATAAATCCATGAAACACTCAAGCAGATATATAAGAAAGCAATGATTTTTGTCTTTGTGACAAAGTCAATAAAGCTCAAGGAAACCACCTGTATTTTATTATCACATATTAATATGTTTAATGCTATTAAAACAAGAGTCTGGGGTGAGCTGCAGGAAATCAAAGCACTTAATGGTGCAGACACAAACCTTCTCTCCTCCCTCCCCAAAGGTGATTTGAACCAGTTTAAGTAAATGCATTTGTCTCTTAAAATAATTATGTGATTTAGAGACACTTTTTCCTGGCTTGCATCAAATGAGTTTAATGGGGTCTGCCTGTGTATCTGTGTGTGTCAGTTTAACAAGTTATTGCTTTTTAAAGCTGCATTTATAGCGCAGTATTCACCAGAAAAGTAATTCTCTATGAGAAGGGATTATTTGTGTTTCACCATCACTTGGCATTTATTCCACAGAGCATTTACTACTGAAATGGTGCCCAGAGGGCAGAGGCCAAAATGATCTAAAAAGATGTGTTGAAATTTGGGATAAACATTCTCTGGATGGTCTACCAGCTGTGAACTTTCTCTTCTTTGCCAAGAGTGTTTGTCCTCTCTGGTCCAGTCTTGGCCACTCTCTTGGCCCTCCTCAAGGTCAGGCTGACTTCTGTCCTCCCTGCCTGTGCTCTTTTCATGGCCCTGTCCCAAACAGGATTTCCCTGGGGCAGAGGAGAGCTGACAGCAGGCCCTGCCAGACTGGGATGGGGATCTGAAGGTGGGCTTCACACTGGCCAGCACTTAAGTGGCAGATGTCCCAGATGGGTCCTTACAGGTGACCCTTCTCTCTTTGTCCAACAGAGACCTGCCAATGCTGGGGATAAAAAGGCTGTTTTGGAGTCTAGGTGAGCATGCAGGGAGCCAGACTCCTTTTAGGAGAAAGCATTAACACTGTGGGACAAAGCCCTGATGAACCCTGCTTGGCACGGTTGTCAGTTCTGGTGAGGTTGCTGGGGTGCAGAGCACTGAGCCATGCTCCTTGGGGAAGACACTTGTTGAGTGAGCTGCCTCATTTATTTCTTGTCCTGGAGGCACTGGGAATCTCCTAAGCAACTAAGCTGTGGCACTGAAGCAGCTAATTTCTCCTCACAGGTGTATTTGGCTGCTTCAGGTAAGGGTAAAATGAAGTCTCACAGGAATTATCAGTGCAGTTGGAGGACGAAGGGGGGCAGCGGCAGCTCAGCAGCAGCCAGCCTTATTTCTTGGTGAAAAATACCACCAGTACAGATGGGAGGTGCAAGAGAGAGGCCTCAGCAGTTAAAGAATCAGGCTGTTCATGACACAGAACAGACTAAAGAGATGGCCTTTATCAGGGGAGATCAGCCCCTCTAGCTGATACAAGGGAAGAGATGGGCAGTACCAAGTGGGGAGCCAGGAGGATGGGTGAGAAGGTGCTGTCTGCAGGATGCCTTTGTCTAACCACGTCCTGCAACAGGCCATGAAATCATGGAGCTGAGCTGGCTCCAACAGCAGCAGCAGAACAACCTCCTCCACAGGATGCTGGTGCAAAGGCCAGTGGCTCTCTGGTCCTCTGCAGCTCATGGGAGACCCCTCGTGTGCCTGCCCAGGAAACATCACCCCTGCAGTAGGATTGAGTCACTCCATCAAAGCAGACAGCAACACTGCAAGGAAATGTTCAGGGCTACAATCAAGAAAGTGTGGGTTCTTAATCTATGCTAGGGCACTGGCTTTGGCGTGCAGGTCTCATCTTCCAGAACTACATGGCTTGGAGCCAGGCTTTGCTAGGTCTGTCCAGATGGGAAAGTCATCCAGAAACAGAGGAAGGAATATGGAATGCTCCAGTGACTCATGTGATTGAGAGATGAATATGTTTTGTAGCCACAACAGATAATTCTAACTACTCATCTGACCTACTGTATCTCCCAGGAACATTTTTGACCCTTAGTTTGTGCTTCAGGCTCCTTGACTTGTAGCAAATCTCCTAGAGGGATATCAATATTTGGCTACAGGGGCCCTGTATAGATAACCTAAACATAAATCCCAGCCCTACAAGGCTTCTATCATTTTAGAAGTGGCAACTTTAACCTCAAAATTGCTTTGTGTCAAATCCTGAATTCATTGAGCCTTTTGTGTCTTTTCAAGGTTAAAGCAACAGCTTTCCATAGAAGTAGGAGGAAGTTTCCATGGAAATTTCTGGAGGAAGGAATCAGATCAATTCTCATAGCTGTGATTGCAAACATCTGCAGTATGTCCTAATATAAAGCCACCAAGAAGGGTTATTGCCTTCTGTTGACCTTTCATCTCTTTACAAAATCAGAGCCAGTCACTCCAGCCCCTTGTAAATGGTCTCTCCTGCTCCTGGCCTGTTGCTTGCTCAGCCAGCACTCTGACAGGACCATGACTTTGCCCTTAGGTGGTTACAAGGGAGCTGAACATGGGGGTTTCCCAGGGGAGGACATGACCTAGCTCCTTTGCATTAGTCTATTGCTGCAGTTATTCATTGACACTGGACTAGCAAACTGAATTTTTGGGAATCATGGGTAGTCCAGGTCTGCAACAGTACAGTAACAGAAATGTAAGTATAATGGGCCCATTAAAGCATTTGCACTGGAATGGGCACCCTGAGACACATCGGCACAGACTGGTTGTTGTAGGAAAGTGTGTTAGCAGACTGGGTGCATCTATCCTTTTCCCTCTCTTGTAATCCCATTCCTAAGGTGGTTTTTCACTTACCTATTTCACAATTAAAACTTAATTCCTCAGTCTTCCCATCTAGGGACACAGAGCTCGGTCACCCTAGCACTCCCTGTCACCTGCAGTGGGGCAGTGTGGGGCTGAGGGATGGGCCCTTCCCATGGAAGCTCTGACACCAAGGTGAAAATTATTAATTTTGCTGGTTTACGGTGGGTTTTCTGAACCTGTCAGCCTGGTGTAGAGAACCCACCCGCATGGCCAACCTGGCATGGACACAAGCACCAGAACATCTTGAAGCATCACAGCAAATGGGACATGGTATGAAAGCTGGCCTCAATTTTTTTCTGGAGTTGGGTATCTGGCCACGTCTACATCCCATTAAGGAGCTTGTTCTGAGGTCCTGGTGGTATCTGCCTGAATAAGTGGCTGCACAGATCTAAGCCCTCTTTGCCCATCTCCAGGCCAGAGGGAGGGAATGCTGTGGGATATACAGGTGAGGAAGCAACACTTGGACTGCAGCAATCCCAAATCAGTTAAGCAATACCCAGATTTACAGCAGAAAAAAAGTCTTTGTCCCCACATTACATGGTGGCCTGAAAGCTACTTGTCATGAGGATTTCCCAGGACAGTTCTGCTGCAGCTTTCCAGAGAACTGAGTGATAAGAGTCTGGTGGTAACAGCCAAGGTTCTCCCCATACTCCAACCTGAGGAATGCCCCAGCAGGGGGGAGGGTCTGACCCTGTCATTGCAGCACCAGCCTTGTCCCCTGCTCCTTCCTTGCTCTGCTGTAACATATCCTTTCAGTAAAGCGGAGAGTTATCTTAATTTTGCAGACAGCAGCACTCAGGGATAAGGTAACTAATTTGGGAAATTGTCCTGGCTGTCAATTCCCTGAGTGATTGGTGGGAGAGGCTTTGAAGCCTCACGCATGCTCCCTGCCATTCACTTGGACTCGAATTACCCTTTTATTTTACCTCCTCCTTGTTCTCATTGCCACACCACTCAAACTAAAATTATTCGCCTACAACCACAAACGCGGGGATATATCACCGGGAGTGCTGTAGGGCTGTCGCCATATATAATTCTCTGAGCTCAATATTTACAGAGCTACACAGGGCACAAATCATACCCAGAAAGCCCATCGAGCTGGAGAGCTAGGTATAAACTCCAGAAATATCGCAAGCCATCGCTCACAGGAGACTGCCCGGCAGACCCGCTGGCTGTACATCAAGCTGTAATGCCATCTGAGTCCGCGCTTGGTGCTGCAGTGGATCAGAGGTCACTTCCAAGATTTTCTTCCATAAATCCTGGGTGCTGGCTCTCAGCAAGGTTAGGGGCTGGGAGAACTCTGCTCTGAGTGCTCCCTTCTTCTGCTTGCTGCCACTGACACTGAGCTGTCCCAGCACTCTGTGCAGGCATTTATCTCTGGGGCCTTGTCCTCCCTTCTGCCCCTCTGCTACACAGCCAGAGATGAGAGGGAGGAGGGGTGGGATGGATCCTACAGCTTCACTGGACAAGCTATGGGAGATGACAGTTCCTCTGAAAGGTTCTTTTGGTGGGCTTTGGGGGAGTTTGAGGCCCTCTTCTTCTCACCCCTCAGGATCACACTCTCCTCATGCCCCAGTCCTGTGCAGGGCTGTGAATTTTCTCCAAATGCCCAGGTGGTTACAGGCACACAGCAGCCTGCCTGCCCACATAGCAGAGCCATAATCATCAGCCCTAGGATAGTTCAGATCCCTCTGTCACTGCCTTCTCTCCTCTTTTCTCCCTTTTCAAAGCTTCTCCCAGGTGGAGCTGATGCCTCACTGGAGATGAGGGAGTGGTCCCTAACCAGGGCAGCTCCCAATGCATTTTGGGGCTTTTGCAGTGCATTTAAGCCAGTCCAAAGAGCAGGTGAAATGAGTACTCTGCAGATGCAAACTAATCCTTCCCCAGCTCTTCCCACCTTGGCAGCTTCCACCCTCATGTGCTGGTGATCCAAAGGGTACTACAGCAGGTGGAGAAGATCCAGATGAGACCCGATGCACTGAGCAGGTGAAGCCTCTCTGAAACAGGGCAGCAGTGACATGGTGCTTTCTGGACAAAGAACTGCTGGGGTTTTGCCTGAGAAATCACCAGCCAGACAATTAATTTTATTTCTAAGCTGCATATGATGGACTTGAGCTAACCAGTCTCTGGTTCTTCCCTCTCCCCCAGCAGCATGGCAGACAGACTCTGACATTTAAGCAAAATAAAATCCAACCCTAAGCATTAAGTAAAACTCCCAGCGTGATGGGTTTGTGGCTTGCAGCAACATCTCAGCAGGGGCGTGTTAAAGCTGGTCTCCAGCAAGTGGAAGAATGAAGCTTTGCAAAACCCTGACGAGGCAAAGCTCCTAAAATAACAATTGAATTAAACTTAATTCATTTTCACTTAATATCCTTATAGTGCCTTTAGCAAATGAGGCTGTTATTATTTTGAGGATGAAAATGGGGAGGTGCAGTCTGGATGGAACTCACATCTCCTTACTGAAAGAAAGAAAACTTTGGTGGAAATAAAAAAATAACACGGGAAGAAATGCAGAAAGTTCTAATTCTCCATTTTGGATGAAACACCCCCAAACCCATCCAGTCTCATGTTCTTCAAGATATGCCCCAGACTCAAAAGTGTGCAAACCCACTTTTTCTTTGCCAGATGCTGGAGGTTTGCTGGCTTTGCTGCAGTTACATACCTGGTCACATCCAGTGTCTGTGGGTGGTTGGCCAGGTCCGTATTTCCCTCCTCTTCTCTTGCAGCTTTTGAGCTTTTATGCAATATTTGAACCCCAAATGCTCCTTACTTGCCCTGCCCCTCACTAGCCTAATCTGCCGTGTTTAAAGCACTGTTCTCCCTTTGGTTTCCATGATATGTCAGCATGAACCTTTCCCTGGGGAAGGCTGAGCTAACCTGGTGACTCTGACCCTGACTCAGTGGGGCAAGCAAGCACAAGCCCAGGCTGGCCCTGTTCCATAGCAACCCTGGACACTCCCTATTCAGGACAATGTTTGTCCACATGCCTTATTTCCAGCCATGTCTCCTGTTTGCTTGTGCCCACCCTTATTTCTACTGGCAGCAGGATTTGACAAGCCCCTCACCACCAAGGTTGTCTTTCTCTGTTGGGGTTGCAGAACAGCATCTCAGAAAGGACATCATGCAGCTCTTCCCCTCAGACATCCTAGCAAAGAGGGAATATCTCATGATCCCACACTTCAGAGAGGGATGGTCAACTGAAGCAAGGAGCAAATGAACTCAAGGAGCCATCCCAACCTTGCCCCACAAAACTCCTTGCTCTCAAACCTTAGGCTCTGCTAACCAGAGGGAGCAAAGGCTGCTCTGAAATGGCCATACAGGCACTGAACTACACTTCCCAGTAGGCCACAGAGCAAGGGCCCTCCTGGTATGGAAAAGCCTCCATTTGACTTGCTCATGCTCCCTAGGGTTGGGGACAACTGGGGGATTTTAGGATTTCAAGGCTAGACAGCCATTATTCATTGCTGTGTAAGCAGCAGCAACAGCAGGCATTACAGCAAAATTAATTTCCACTTTGAATGCAGCTCTCCTGTGTCACTACTGCCTTTACAGTCTTCTTGCCAGAGCTCAAGAAAATAGCCCAGACAGGCTTTGCAAGGTCGCCTCGCCCTCTGTCTTGCTCAGAGGCAGGCTCCGCCCCAACTAATCCTCTTCTGACAGACCTTTTTGTCTCATTTATTCACAGAAATCTTTCTCCACCTGCCTTGGTTAGGGCAGCAGTTTATCAGCTCTAAGAAAAAGGAGAATAAACTTTCTTATTGAGACACAGCTTTTCAAAACTCTGCTCTTCCCATCAATTTGAACGTGATAATTTTAGGCTTACACTAAGCAACTGCAATGAGAAGGTCCCTGGGACAGTGAGCACCCATGCCTCATGGCTGCATCCCCTCTGCTGCCAACAGATGCTGCTGCTGCTCTCTCTTGCTGCCAGGCAAGGACAAGCAATATTCAGAGTCTGTGTCTGCAGCAGGGACAAGATAACTTCACTGGGACATTTTCCAGTAATCTGAAAAGTTAGCACATACCCATCATCTATTTCTCTGCACCTTCCTGCTGCTAGTAAGCCACACCTCTTGAGCCTGATAGATTTTCAGAGCTATTCCAACAAAATCTAGCTTTACTTTCAAAAGCAAGGACTAATGAGAAAACAATTAGCAGTCATGGTGGAGTACTGCATCAAAATCAGATCATCAAGGTTTTGTTTTTTTAGAGCATTGCATATGAAGAAGAATATGAGATGAACTCCACCATCTCTGGGACTGATATGAACTATTTGCCTTCTGTATCACTGGCTAAGAAATAGATTTTTTTTGAGCACTGTTCCTTTGAAGGGAGATTCCTGCCTTGGTTAACAGTTAAGGCCTGGAAAAAAATTAAGATCTAGGTAGGCATTTGCCAGAGCTTGTGAATGAACTCCTGTGCCCAGCATGTGCCAGACCCACACCCATTAGGAAACTGCAAGGGAAGCCCCCGGTCCTGTCCTGGCAGTGTGAGCTGTGAGGGGCACAGAGTCACATTGCATGCTGACCAAGCATGACCATTGGACTTCTGACCAAGTCCTGGGGACTCTCAGGGCCAGCCAAAGATACTGAGAGGGCCTCACAAGCATCCTCTGCCAGGACACGGAGCATCTTTCAGGAAGAATTGCCGAGCTCTTGTGCCTTGCTTTGGGGATGCCAGCTAAGAGAGGAGCAAGGCTCAGCCTGTGCATGCAGGCTCCAGCCATGTTTGCAGGTAATGGAATGCCTGTCCTGTTTCCCCCCTAAAAATTTCCTGCCCAAACCCGTTCTTTCCAGTCATGTCTCTGGAAATCTCATCCTCCCAGCTGTAAAGGGGAGCCTAGAGAAGGTACCAAAATCAAGGCTGCAACACAGCTGAAACAGTGTAGTAGGGCTGGGAAGTTTCCCACTGAGTCCTTACCTCTCCTTCAATTTTCTTACCATTAAACCCATTGCAAGAGGGTTTTGAGGGGGAGACTTGTCACCACTCCCAAGTGAGGTGCTTCAGAGCCCAGCTCTGAATGTCTCACCCAAGCATCAGTTAAATGAAATAGGAGGTCCTGGTGGCAGAACCAAGATATCAGTTGATTATTATTTCTTCTCACTTTGGGGTGATCTTTTCTGTGTCTTTACATCTTGCAGTGCTAATTCATCTTTTGCTTTCCCTTGAAGTACTCGTATGTCAAATAGGGCAGATTGCCTCTCCCCTTGATCATGGGTTCTGTACCCTGGGCTGGACAGGGCACAAAGAATAAGGGTAGAAGCTGTTTTGCTATCTTGCCCATGGGTATTGTGGCTGATTCCTCCTACAGGGCAAAAAAAAAGAGAAAAGGGAGAGAAATTTAAGCCATTAGTATCAAACAGTTAAGGGCTGTGGTTGAATTAGGTGAAAAATAAATGGGACTAATTGGGAAAAACATTAACAGACCATAAAATAATAGCTTTTTAAGAAACAAGAAATATAAGCTAATTACAGACTGTGTGACATTGGCTTTATGTTGGTACCTGTACTGATGGACTTGGAAGTTGCTTGACTGCTCCAGTTCATTCTGGTGTGCAGGAAAGCACTGATGGATGAGGGGGATGCAGGAGTAGCAGCCAAGGATTTTTTTGCTTCATCATTCAATCATCACATAATTCATGTTGGAAGTGACCTCAGGAAATCTCTGATCAAGCTCTCTCTCTGAGGACCAGAGCTCAGTGCTTCTAGGGCAGGTTTCTCAGTTCAGTAAACCTCTGAATGTTGACACAGTTAGTGACTTCAAAGTTGGGTCTGTGCTCCAGTATTTGACTATTAATCATGTGGAAAGTTTCTTTCTCTTATAAGTAATCACAGTTTCCTTTGATGCAACTTGTCTGTCACTCCTTGTGTCTCTTGGCCTTTCATCTTTCCCAATACCCCAAGAAGAGTCTGTCTCCATCTTCTCTCCACCAAGCATCCCTGGTGTGGGTAAGGGTGTCTGTGCAAAAGATGTGCAAGCACAGGACACGGGGGGGAGCTGTCAGCATGAGCATAAATGAACGTGACTTGTGATACTCCCCACTCTCCGGGAATAAATACACAAACAAAAAAACCCAGCAAAAACAAACAAACAACCTGCTGTGAAACATTATATTTTCCTTCAAATTATTATTAATTTTCTGAAAATACTCATGGGAAGTATAAGGGTTGTAATACTCATTTGTGTGCTCTAGAGGCAGGGCTAGAGTGGAGTGTGATTGCTGCCCATGAAACTGAGAGCAGAAAATAACCTGGGGAGTGTCCACCTGTACATATGTAGGACTTCACACTGTCGGCTCTGCCAGCGTCAGAGCAGGGCACAGAGGATCCCATGAGCAGTGAAGGGGGGACACTCTCTCAAGCAGCTGGAACAGGACATATGCAAGGGAGGGCTCATTTCAGGCGTGAAGTCCTGTTAAGTTGACAGGCAGTGACCTAGGGACTCTGCAACCCTCTCGGTTCTGGGGGTGAAGCAGGGAGGCAGGAGAGTTTCTGCTAGAGGTGACCTTGGCTATAAAGGAGCTGTATGCACACAGCAGGGAGTTCTCCAAAGATCAGTTCTTGATGATGGCAGGATTTGAAACATCCAAGGACTGAATTTCTTTGTCATGTCCCTAGTCACATTTTGGCTGAAATTCAATGAGACACTTTGATTTTGGAGGACAGGGGCTTGGAGGCAGGCACAAGATGGACTAGGAAGAGCTTCTAGCTTTTGTGTCACCCCACTGCTTCTGAGATGCTTCAGATCACTTCTAACCCTGTGCCGGGTTTTCACCTTCCATCCTCTCCCCGAGACTTGTGTCCATTGGTGTCACTTTGTTTTAAGTGGCAATCCTCTCCAGAATGGCTGTGAACCAGGGGATGGGTTTCACTCTTCAGACTGCATTATCGTGGTAGCATCAGGTCCTGATATGGGGGTTCAATATGCTTCTTCACACGGTGACGTTAGTAATGTCACAAACCCTGGAAAGTATGATTTGATTTCTCTGTGGGATATGACGTGGCTGCTCACCTCACAGAAAAAGGAATGCCACGGACGCGGGTTTGCTCACGAAACCCTCTTTTCACCTTTTAACTTTCAGAAGGGCTTTTTCCCCTTGCGAAAACCTCTAGGCAGGAGGCGGCCCGGCCCGCTCGGTCCCACACGGGGGTGCCAGCCGTGCTTGGGGCCTGCTGGCGGTGCGGCCTGCAGAGGTCCCCCTCGCCTAAGCTTTGAGCGCCGGGCGGGAAAGCGGCTCCGGCGGGAAACGGGTCCCCCTCACGGCCCCGGCCCGGCTCCCTCCTCCGCCGTCCGGGCCGAAGCGGCCTTGGGTGTGTCCTAAGGGTATGGTGAACCGAGCTTGGAGAAGCGGTGGCCTCGAAGTGGGACCCCGGGAAGGCAGGACAATTAACGGCCCGGGCTAATATGCTGTAATTGCAGGCAGCCGGAATTGGCGGTCCTGAGACTCCCCCTGCCCTGCCGAGGGGGCAGCTGGTACAGGGCAGAGACATTTTGGACCTTGCCGTCAGCAGAGGCCTACAGGCCTGGCATCACTGAGGAGAGAGGCAATGGGACAGGGCAGCCCATCCCTCCTTTCCAGCTACCACTGGATCTGGTTTTTGCTCCAGTCTCTATGATGGATTTGGAACTCGCCAGCTTGTGCCCATGTCAGTACTGTGGCGGCTCCATCTTTGGCAGTGCATGGGATTCTGGAAAGCAATGAGTGGCCCCAACTGCGTGAAAAGGTAATAATTACTGGACGCACACCAGAGGAAACAAAAGAGGGGTGTTCCCTCCTGTGCCCAGCGGCAGCTAGAAGCAGGGGTACTGCCACCAGCTGGAAGGGACCCCCACACCTGGCCAAGGCTGTACCCCTGCAGGGTACCTGCTGCATCCCTTGGCCTTGCTGTAAAGCCAGACCAGGCAAGGCAGGGGTGTACAGGGTGCCCTGGGTCCCCACCACAGCTTTTCTGGTCCTGGTCACAAGCCTCCTCTCATCCTCAGTGCATGGGCCATGGTTAAGCCTGCCGTGGCTACACTCCAGAGCACTTGGGTTTGATGCTGAGGTTTAGGAATGGGCACAGTGCTGCTCATTCATCTCATCCACTGCTTTAAAATAATAATAGTAATAGTAATAGTAATAGTAATAGTAATAGTAAGGCTAATAGTAAGGCTAATAGTAATGCTAATAGTAATAGTAGTAATAGATGAGATGATCCATTCACCCACATGGCAGTACCTGAAATTTTTACTTTTTACATGAGCTGCCAACAACCATAAACTCCTGTGAGGCCAGCATTTATAGATAACTGGCCTCTCCATGGCTGGCAAGACTTGAGCTCACAGTCACATCACTTTTCCACCAAACACCATGTTCCTATTCCCAAAGAAAGGATCCTTTTTTTTTTTCTTTTTTCTTTTTCTTTTTCTTTTTTTTTTTCTTTAAGCAAAAGGAGAATAGCAGCCAGCTACTAGTGTAAAGAGCAGAAAACTGTGAAATGGTCCTCTGAGGGAGCTGGCACAAGCTCCAGTTTTCTGTGTTGACATGTTCTGTGGTCTCCTGTTCTCACTGCTCTGATCTCTGATCAAGGTGTGAGTCCCGTCCAAGGGAAAAGTTATTTCCATAATAAATGGACTGGGGGGAGCTGACAGGAATATTGGCTTTGTCAGGAAAGGACAGATCAGAAGTGATATATTGGAATAATTTCAGCATCTTGGAGAACTCCAGTTTGGCTGTAATATTAATGCTTTTGAAGATAAGGAACATTTGTGCAATAAACTTGTGGTAGTTCCGTGTGGCCTTGGCATTGCTTTGGGCTATGAAACCATCACGGACCCTCTGCTCTGAGTGCCTTGAACTCCCTGAATGTCCATGCTTGACAGAACGTATTTGCAGCAGCGGGTTAGTGGGTGTGCGAGAACAGAGGAGCGGGACTGCTGTTAGTGAGGCCGTGCCCGCTGGGGGTGGCGTGGAGGGGGCAGCCGGGTCCTTGGCAGGGGATGCGTTTGCAGATCGTGGCACAATTCAGAGCACTTCTAATCCTGGGGGTTACGGCCCCGGTGAAGAGAGCCCTCCCCTTTGCCGTGTGCCGCTCCGTGCGCTCCCCTTGCAGGCCAGGCACTGGAGATCAGTGGGGACTCCCCGGCAGCCGGGGCAAGTGTGAGCCCTGGGGGCACAGCAGGAGCGGGGCAGCCACCCTGCCACCCTCTCCTGTGCCAGAGGAGGGGGCACAGGCATTCCCCTGCTTTGCGGGCTGCTGGGACCGGCTGCACTCTCTCACCAGGAGGTTTGCTCTGGGTTCGGGGAAAGGGGGAGGCGGAGGTGCCGTGGAGGAGTAGCCAATCTCCCCAGCAGTCGGGACAACTCAGAGCGTGGGGGGCTTTGCTGCGGCCTCGGAGGCTGTTGCATCCCTCTGAGGGACCCCCACTAAGTCGGGCGAAGTCGCCCCACCATTCATTGGCCCGCTGAACCTGGGGAGGACCTGGGGGCTTTAGGGGCTCCCCCAGACGCTGGACTGCTCAAGTGTGCTTGCTCACTTCCTTGGTGTGACCACTCGGTTGCCCCTGCACCATTCGTGTTTCTGCCGATGGAGCCATTCCGGTGGGGGGACGGAGGCAGTGGGGGAGCACTGTCTTGCTCGGGAAATGGGAGACAGGGGTTGGGAAGGAGGGAGAAAGGCTTTTGCCAGAGGAAATCGATATCCCGTGAAAAGTAATTATTGAAGCATAAATTTATCATAAGGGTGATCACCAATAAAACATCTCTTGGCGACGTTTTAATTTAAAATCAAATTCGAAAAGGCCCCCCTCCCCCTTCAAAAAAAAAATCCTTAACAAGCAGAAAAATAACTGCAGCCCTTGGAACACTTCATTATACGTTCAAAGAGAGCTCCATCATCTTCGCACCGACGCCGGGCTCTGCTCTTCTGATGGATCCAATGCAGCTGATTTATGGAAATGACTTGCAAATCCATAAATGTAGTTTGCAGTGACAGCCGTGCATATCACTAGTAATTCCTTTAAACTATGCAAAGAAAAATGATTCATATCTGGTTGGACCCTGGCTTTTCCAAGGGTCGCCACTCCTGAGTCTTGATGTGTTTGTCTGTATTGGTTTCCCTCTCTATTTTTTTAACTCCGTGATGGATGAGGTTGAGATTTTAACACTGAAACCCGGGACCCCGAGACGGCCAGCGAGGGAAGAGTTAAGCCTGTGGGAAGGCGGTTTTGCCCTCCTTCCCCGCGGACACGCGTGGGGCAGACGTGACACACGTTGCCGCACTCGGTGTCTTGTCCCCCCGGCTTTTCTCTGCAACCCCCCGGGTTTCAGCCCCGGGTTCCGAAAGCTTAATCGTGTTAATTAATTAGTCCTCCATGTGTGGTTGCTGGGTGACTCCGGGGCGGATGCAGAGAGGTCGGGGAGGTGCAGCCCGGAGGGATGCGTGCCCATGCCTCAAAAAGGGGCGCCTTTCCCCGCCTGCAAAAGGGGCGTGACGGGGGCAGCCGGGCCGGGCGATGCTGCTGCAGCCCCGCTCTGGGGACGCCCCCGAGTGCCCCCTCCCTGGGGCCCCCGGTTCTTTCCTTGCAAACCCCAGCACACAGGGCCGGGCCCGCACACGTCGGGCAAAGATGGAGCAAAATTAGCGGTTCTCGGAATTTCTTCATTGTTTTTTGCAGTTTCCCCAGGAATCACCATACCTCCTTCCCCATTTATATCCCCAAAGATCATCCTCCAGCAGTATCTCTGATAACGCATTTATTAGGCTTCATGATGCAATAACCACAAGCAGCCAGAAAATGTAGCATATTTCCACATTATCATCCAATTTCCCTTCCCGGGTATTTAGTTCAACTCTTTAACACCAGTCACATAATTAGAATTTGGATTTCCATTAATTTTCCTTGGGCCTGCAACCATTTTAAGATCACAGTGGTAATTAACGTGATACATCACTAATTTCACCAAGCACAATCTAAGTAGGCGCTTCCTCTCTTTCTCGGGGGCAAGGCTGGGGGGGAAGGTAAGGGGAGACGTCGGGGGTCGAGGCGGCCCGAGGCCCCTGCCAGGGTGATTCTGTCCCCGCCCTGCCCCCGCCGAGGAGCGGAGAGTGTCGTGTCGCAGCCCGGCCCCGCCGCATCCTCCGCTTTCGCTACGGAAAAATACACTTTTCTTTCCAGTAAATTTAACAATTAAAAATATTTATCGGTAGCAGATTTACGTTGTTGTGTCTCCAGTCTTGGGGCATATTGGTAGACTATTAAGACTAATTAGCATCCTTTCTGCATGCAGATTTACTAAGCTGATTGCGGTATAACTCATCCCTAAAAGCCCCTATCCCTTCACATTTGCAGAATGTAGCTGAAGGCAAGGCCCTTTCGTCTCTCTCCGAGCTTGCAAGCAGCTCACGTTAGCCGGGCCTTTTGCTAAGTAAACTTTAAAAATGTGAAGCAATAACAATTTGAGTTAGAAGCTTGCAAAGTACTAAAATGGAAATATTACCTCGGGAGCTTCCACAGGAAGGATCTGGGAGGAAACAAGAAGCTTAAATGTATAGAAGCACGCAGCAGATACAGGCTGTATATTCTCAGCATTAAACCCAGGGCTGTTATTTTCTTAAATATATTTGGAAATAAACAAAAGGATTTCGTACGTGCCTGGGTGGCTGCGTGTTCCCGAAGGCAAACAGCACCGAGGAGAGGAGAGAGAGAGAGGGAGGGAAAGAGAGAAAAAACGAAGAGTTACAGAAAGTTTGAAAGATGCAGTTGCAGGGAACAGTTGCTCGTTTTTCCCTTCCCTCTCTGCATTTTGGGTCTGTTTTAAAGGCGCGGAATCAGCAGAGTGCTCTGCTGCGCAGCCCCTCTAATACAACGGGAGGGGAGATTCGTAGCATCTCTTAGTACCTTACTTTGCATTTAAAATGTTTAAAGCAGAAGGCTCTGTGAGGCTCTTTCAAGGTGTGGAAAGTATCGGCTTTTATGCTTTTAAAAAGCATACACTGCTGGTTTATTATTAACACACTGGGAAGTACATAAGCCCCACAACTTTATTCTCTTTGATGAGCCTGGAAGAGCACGTTGGCCCTGAAGGCTTTTGTTCATTAAAGATGTAGGCTGTAGGAATATTGTCTCATTAATTATCTGTTTTTAATTACACTGTTACCCTTTGAATCCATATATTTGTGGGGGGGTGGAAAAGTTGCTCTAGCCAGACCCTCGCAATCCGCAGCGAGGGCGTGTCGAGGTTTAAGGCTTAAGAAGCAGCAAAGACTCGGACAGGGAGTGCGGGAGTTGCAGGGATGTTCCTGCTGGAAGGATGGACGGATGGACGGATGGACGCAGGGGTGGGGAGGAAGCGGAGGTGGGAAAAAGCGGTGTCTCCGCGCGTGTAGAGCTGCGTGCACATCAGGAAATATTTATTTCCCCGTGTCCATCTGCACCCGCCTCTCGGCTGCCGGCCGTCTTCCGAGCTGGGCCGGTACCGGGTGGGATTCACCGTGGGGAAACCGGAGAGCTGGGTCGGGCAGGCTCAGGGCGCGTCCCCCTCTGTGAGATGTAACCCTCCGGACACCTCCCCAGTTCCCACATCATTATCTTTCCTCAGCGTATAGCGAGCCGGAGCCTCTCCAATTAATTTTATTTTCCTGTTAATTTGCTCGCCATTTAGGAAGAGCAGCTCTATGGCCCGCTCCCTTACACCGAGCAAGAAATACAGCATTTCTCACCCCGTCGAGGCTGGGCGACGGCAGCAGTGGATGCTCCTCCCGGACTGGGCATCACCCGAAGGGGCTGAGGGCGTTGGTGCCATCTTAACGGCCGGGGCGCTTTGTCATTAATTACCCGGCGCTAAATTGTGCCGTTTTCCCTTTAAATCCCAGACATGTTGACAGGACACATTAAAGTGCAGCCTTCTCAGGCTGAGAACATCATAAAAACCGGACAGGCAATTTCTGTTTTCACCAAATAGCCAGGGTAGCGCGTTCTGCATCTTTGATTTTAATGCACTAACTGGCAGCTAAGCAGTGAGGGGAGCACAGAGGTGGGGAGAGAGGGGACTCGAGATGGAAAACCTGGGGAGGAAGCAGAGGTTAGCGATATATATTTATTTTTTTCCCCTCTCTCCTGCAAGCCCTGCCCTGGCTCGGCCCCCTCCCATCTCCAAATCCATCGCACCAACTGAATTATCAACTAGAATTTGATTAATATGCAAATCTGAGGCAAACAGCTCCATATAATTCTTTCAGTGGAGAGTAATTAATCAACAGTTAAAGCAAATTAATACATATATCAATTTTGTCAGGAACATGCTTAGTTCAATAGCCCGTAAAATTGAAGTTTGAAGTATTAAGGGGCTCTACAGAAACGTTATGACTAAAACTTTCAAATTGATCCTATTTAGTAATCAATCAGGCTCTCCCCTCGGGTTAATCTGTCTAATTTTTCATCTCAAATCATACACTTTAGTGACATGCCATCTAGCAAACAGTCGATAAAAAGTTAACAAAAATGATAACGACTTCAGCACACGGTGGTTCCTGCGTGTGAGCCGGTGGACGCGGGTGGGTGTGCGGCCCCACGGCGGCCCCGCCACCCAGCCTGCCGCCGGTGCCATCGCGGCAAAACCACCTTTTGCCGAGCAGCTCATTAAATATGCAATTATTTTCTCTCCTCTCTCCATTTGTGTCTCCCTCCCTCAGCCAAAGTGGGGTTATTGAATACAGGCTGGGCACACACCCGCTCCGAGCCGTGTGGGGATGCCGCTCCGCCCCGGGCAACGGGAGCTAAGCCCCCGC